CTTCTGTATGCTTTTTATATTTATATAATTTAATATAGTTAACAATCTATATCACGCAAAGAGTACCGTTTTTCTGCAGATATCAGCATGATAACACATTTAATAATCATTTTATACAAGTTCAGTAAAGCAATAAGTGACTTACATTTTAGAAAAAAATATTTCTTGTTTTTGCTCAATTTTGCCAACGAAAATAGTTCCAAAGGTCACAGTCTCTGAGCAATGGACGGTGTTTACTTATTGAATGAATCAGCTTTTTGAATGAATCAGTTGAATCTCAATGACTCACTCATTAACAGTCACTTGCTGACACCTACTGGCAGTTTTAATTTCACATTTCTACTATTTTTTCATGTTTGAAATAATTTCAAATATCAGTATTCAATGTTTTATGTTAAAAACAAAACATTATTTATGCATCTGTAACTGCAGGTTAAATGCATCCATGTCCCCTCTGAGATACATTAAACAGATACATTTTCCATTTTGCATTTACTTGTATTTTTACTTTTTAATACTTAAGTATGTTTAAGATTAAAAAATACTTTTCGTACTTAAGTACAATAAATATCACATACTTTAAGACTTTTACTCAAGTAATATTCTAAACAGTGACTTCAACTTCTACCAAAGTAATTTTCTGGTAAGATATCTGTACTTTTACTTGAGTATGGCTTTCAGGTACTTTATACACCACTGAATTTTCAAGTGATCATTAAATTTAGACTGTATTTCTAATTAAAAACTGATCACAAATAATGGTTATTCATAAATTTAGATATTTGATAAATTATTCATTAGGACCTGATGTCGCATTTGAGTCTCACGTTGGCCTTACATGGATCTCACAATCACAAACTCGCCAATCCGAACTTAGTCAGAGGGTGCAAGGTTAACCTATACCTTTCAGATAGCCGCCTACTGCTTGCTCAGCAATTTGTATTGAAGTGACCTAACAACCTACAATTTTTTGTTCTAAGATTTGAGGTAACATCAGCCTCCACATGATCTACTAATCATAATGATTTCAGGAGAGTTCAGAATAAAACAAATATAACATTTTATTTGTCAGATAAAAATGTATCATGCTAATTACATAATAAAACAATTAGAAGCCAATTCAGAAAGGATAATGCAATTGTGAATCACATTGCAGCCAATTCTATGCTCCTGTACATGGATTACTGTAGCTATATGGGAAATACCCAAGTGTTCCAAACAGGAGACAAACAAATTTGACGTGGTCACACATGTGATTTGAAATTTCTGAACAATTTCAGTATTAGTTATTTTAATTTTACACAAGACAGATAGCATCTACAACCTTTTACCTAAGTGTTTTATATAACACTTACAGTAAAAAGCAATCATGTGTTTTAAGAATAAACTCAACTAGTCTGTATGTACATGTAGTAGCTCAAACAACTATAATGTGTGTTCTATGAGCACAACATGTTTAACACAATAACACATTTGAAAATACAAAGAAATGCATACCTGACAGAGAAACACACAGCTGCATGGGAGAGTTCCAGTGCAGAGCTCCAGAGATACACAGTGTGGGGGTTTTCTGGTTACAGAATCCCAAAATAGTGTTTTGCCATTTCACTTATATATCCAGACCAGAACAAAGAAATCTTCCAGTCAGATGTAAAAACATAAAAGACCCATTGGTTTTTCAGGATCTCATGACCCGAGGGTCACACCTGGCCAGAGAAGGGAAAACATTCTCACAGACCCAGAGGGAGAAACACCCCTCAGCGATAAGATGAAAAATTGAAAACAGAATTCTTAAGATATAATAAATGCAGTATGTAAGCACAGTAGCCTGAGTTAATGACACTCTGAGTCAACTTAGACCATTTACCCAGGAGGGAGAGGGGGCTTAAGGATGGGTGAAGGGACAGTTGAGCAAATAGTTTTCTTTCCATTAATTAATTAATTGCCACTCACGTCCAACTACCTCACCTGTCACCTTCTCCATTATTTGGAGTGCGAAGGGAGATGTATTTCCTATATATTCACATTCATAAAGATAGAAGTACTTCCCTTGCGATACATGAGGGAATACATGGGGAAGTCGTGGTCTAATGGTTAGCGAGTCGGACTCATAACCCAAAGGTTGTGGGTTCGAGTCTCGTACCAGCAGGGATTGTAGGTGGGGGGAGTGAATGTACAGCACTCTCTCCCACCTTCAATACCATGACTGAGGTGCCCTTGAGCAAGACTGCTCCCCGGGTGTTCACGGTGTGTGTGCACTTTGGATGGGATAAATGCAGAAGTCACCATACCAGGCCACATGTCACTTCACTTACAGAATAGGAAGACTGAGCTTGGCCCACTGGTCTATATGTTACCCTTCTCTAGTACAAGAAGTACTGAGGTAGTATCAATGTGCTTCCCTGTTATCACATACAAATGTACAGATGAAGAGAGTGTGCATTACTGCCACATGCATCCCACTTCCTCATCTGTTGCCCCTTCAGTATATACAGTACCTGGAGGAAATAGTGTGGACATAGTGGGACTATGTTAACACATTTTCTAATGGTTCATGATGAGTAATGGAATGACAGAGTATAAAAAGTGGACATAGTTGCATTAATGGCTGACTCTCAGTCTGCGGCCTAATGGATAGCGAGTCGGATTTGTAAATCGAAGGTCGCGGGTTCGAGGCTCAGGTCCAGCAGTGATTGTTGGTGGGGGGAGTGAATATCCAGCACTCTCTCCACCCTCAATACCATTGGCTGCCCACTGCCCCGGGTTTGTTCACTGCTGTCTGTGTGCACTTGGATGGGTTAAATGCAGAGCACAAATTCCAAGTATGAGACGCCACACGTCACGTCCTTTCCTTTCCTCTCTATCCTCCCTTCACTTTAGCTGAAAGTGTACATGCATCTACGTTTCCTTGCTAGAATATTATTCCTACAGGCATAGAACTATAAGAATATTGTAGAGAGTAACTCAGAGAGGCACTATAGCTCCCCACTCTCTCAGTAGCCCCACCGGTTTACACTGGAGGTAGTTCGGCCCATTCCCTAGGAAACCTGACTAACAGGTGAGGCACTTCCCTAGGGGTTTGGTGGTGAAAGTCTTTCAATGGAAGTAGCAGGTGTCGAATCGCATTGTTGACGCGGTTCTTTGCTGGTCGACGATGGAAGAGCATGAGAGTGTAGAGTTACCAAAGGCAATCCATTCTCTGTTCTTTCGCCAGATCCCCCGAAAGTACTTTTGTCATTTCGAGAAGACTTGAGGGTAGAGCAGACAGTTGAGAGATGCACTCAATGTGCTAAAACACAGGCAATTAAAGCACAAATAATTTACAATTTTATATTACAAGTGTTTACCATAATGTGATGTACAGTATATGATCGATTGGCATGACAAACTATTTTCACTATCAAAGTGTTTTCATGATTGTTTTCATTTTCATGATTGATCATTGCTGTCACTTCTGAGTACTTGAGTGTGCAGGTTCTCATGCCTATTCCTAATGTTGAGGAAAGAATCAGTATGCTGAGCAAACAACTTTTGTAAAGAAACAGCTTATTATTTAATGAACTGACAGCCTGTCCGCTAAACTTCAATGTTTCACAAATATTTATTTTGGAGTGAGCTATATATGGACTTTACAAGAAAAAAAAAAGTTTTATAAGAGAAGTGATGAACAATTCAGTTTATGGCACTACTTCTAAGTTATCCACAAACAGTGATTCAATGATGTCAAGGCAAATCTGACACATTATCCAAGTTGACCGTTATGCTGTTATGCTTTCTCCAGTGTTAAAACCATGGAGTTTGGTATCTTCTCATATACTGTAAGAAAACCTCTGTTTGCAAATTTTTATGAAAAGAAATTAATTTAACAACAATAGATTTAATCCCTGAAAGATTTGTTGTTTTGTTGGTTTCAAAATAATTTCTTTAAAAATGCTGTACATTACATTAATGCTGCAGGGACCAGATTTACTAACAACTCTTGGCGTTAAACTTTATTTGGTAACTTTATTTCGGATTTAGTAAAAACATGCAATGAAACATTAGCAATGAAAAGGCATACCCACAATGGTTTTTGCAGCTGACCTTATTGCATATGCATTTCTAGGAGTTTCCCTTTTAAATGAAAATTTATGGATGGAGAGTATTAGGTGATTTACTAAGATTGAGGTTGTCAGCTTACTGGTATTTGCACCATTATCTAATGGCCAAAAAGAAGTATGTCTTAACCAATTTTGCACCTGTGTTGTTACATTACATGCACATGATTATCATCGGCTCTGCTCATTTGGGACCATAAGCTAATTTGCGCTGCTCTTCCTAGATTCCATTATTCGTCATTATTGAAATGCACTGGCTGTGTCTGTATTCTTCAATTTTCACATTGTTAGTAGACTTTCACATTGTTAGTAGAATATTCCAATCCCATTGTCACTTTTATAGGATTGCAATGTTTAGTAAATCTGGCCCCAGATGTTTCTAGGTGTTCTGCTGTGTTTGAAGCTCTGTTATGCATCAATTTTAGTGAATTTCACTGTATCACAAATGTTGTCAATTAATAGAAAAAAAGAGTAAACAGGCTAGGACAGTGCGATGATGGAAGGAACAAAAGAGTAATAGATGTGAGTTAGTCAAGCTCTGTGGTGTTTTGGTCAAGCTCCAGTAGCTACCCCACTTCAATCTTGTTTGTCTGCCATCCAAAAAGGCTTTTTTTTACACTAGTTCCTAGGTAGGGTAAAACAGCAGCCTAATGTAACTTTACATTTGCATGGCTAATAGTTTGTGCACAGATAATTAAATTTAACAGAAAATATGGGTGTTTTGTTTCACATTTTTTAAAGAAAAACTTTATATCAAATATACAAATTCAGGCTTGGATAACCAGATATAATTAACACAGACCATTTTTGATGAGATATACAAGGAGAGGTGCTGAAGCCTAGTACTGTATATCGCCAACGTATTAGTAACCTAATAGAATCTGTTCTAATGGCAGTACTGACCTTTGCAGACCAGGCCCTCCTTCGTCAAAGCCTGCTTGCATACTGCACAACTCTTGGCCTTTTTAAAGGTCTTAGCCTTGAAGGTGTGGGAATGAACAGCCTCAAAGTCTTCTGGCTAAAGGGGCAAAGAGGGAGAGAGTGTTAAAATGGATTCAATGAGCTGAACAAGGGCTTCAATGTTTTAAACCTTACAAAAATTTCACAGATAATTTGAAGTGATGGTAGATCCTGTATTGCTTTATTGTTTCATTGTTAGAATGACATAAAGGAAGTCAACATAACTGTTCCACACACACAAACATACTACACATGTATTAAGTCCCTGTGCCGCAAAGCCATCTGGTCAAGGTAATAAAAAGTGTGATCCTCAGCATTTCCAGCTGTACTATCTACCTAAATCTTAATGGCTTTTGTCACACATTGACAAGACCGTTAATTGCAGGACGGCAAAGCCTGGCATGGGTGACCTTGGCTGTGGAAACCAGAGAGAAGGGTGGACACTCATTCCCTAAAATAACACTTTGCTTAACTCACCAATCACAGCATTTATTCAGAATGGGAAATATTTGTGTGTTATAGTGACCTTGAGGAGAGGCATGTACATTTATATGCATCATTGGCGGTTCAAACACATGTGTGGAGAACATTAGCAAACAAGCCATATCTACAAAAATGGATCTTGTGTATGCTATGCATACAGTTGTGTTGGTCTCAAACAGGTCAAACACCATTTTATTTAAAATTATTTTGATAATGTTTGAAGTCTTTACTTTTTTCTAATTAATTGGACAAATGGTCTAGCAGGAGTTAAAAAAAAAGATTTTCAAGTTCACGATGGCAGAAAATATTTCTTGAACATTAGAAAAACCCCAGGCATAGTCAATTATTAAAACAGGAATTTAGATTCTAGTCCAGTACACCGTTTCATTCAGCCATCCTGCATGCATATTGAAAGTTTCAAGACAATGAATAATTGATTAGCTGGCTGCTGAATTTTGACTTTGGCTTTGGCTAAACTTTTGCTTTTTCAATCAAGTAGATTTTTTTTTATTTTATTATTATTATTTATTATTACCCCCTAAGACCGGAAACTGGTGTAATTTGCGTCAATATTAATTAATGGAATAGTTCAACCACATAGCCTTGTGGTCAGACTGACTCTGGTGAGATCAGATCTCTGTGTGGGCCCTAATGCCACATTATGTCTCCTTGTGCACATAAAAATTAGGGCTGGATACTGACACATTTCATGAATTGATTCATATTCACAAGCTTTTGATTAGATTAGATTTTAATCTCAATTTGATTCAATATCAGTTTGTTTTAATATTTTTTCAGGTGAAGTACATGTCAAAAAACAAAACAATCTCTCAGCTACTGTATAATATGCCAGGAACCTCATCACTTGGTATATTACTATAATATTAAAAGTTAAAATTAACAACAATTAACAAGAGTCTAAACTATTAAATTCAATTGCTATTTATTTTTAGATATAACAATCAACACTCAAGTAAAAACGTATACAATAATTTAAACACATAAGGCACTTTTTTAAATCAACTCATTAGTGAGATAATTATGTTTTTCACAATCACTAAACGTTTATTTAGGCAATTTTTATCTTTGTATCTAATGGTCTGTCTGAGGGCTCAGCCCCACTGTGGATAAAATCCTAGAACCGCTCCTGATTTAAATGTTACCTCTCATAAAAAAAAAAGTTTCATGACAGATATTCAAACAGATGTGTTCCCCTGTCTTGTGTTTAGGACTTTTATGTTGACTAGATGTGGACATTAGACTAAAGTTGCCAGAGGAAGATCCCAGTTGGGCCCTGACACATACAGTATATTGACATTGTTCTGCAGTTTTGGGGATCCTCCTTCACTGTAGGGAAGGTGGAGTTGGATCTCAACATAGCCACCATTCCAGAGCTTCGTGTCATGGCCTCCACTACAGAGCCTCGTCCTGTCATGGCTGCCACTCCAGAGCCTCTTCACGACATGTCTGCCATTCCCAAGTCTCATCCCATCATGGCTGCCATTCCAGCGCCTCATCCTGTCATGGTCACCATGCCAGAACTGCTTCACGACATGGCCACCATGCCAGGGTCCTCAGCCGTCATGGCCACCACGCCAGGGCCCTCAGCCATCATGGCCGCCAAGTCAAAGTCTTCAGCCGTCATGAACATCACACCAGTGTTTCCGGCTCTCATGAACGTTGCACCTGAAGCTACCAAGGCAGTCCCAAGGTATTTGAGATGTTTTATTTCCAATGTGACGGATCCACCATTGATGTCGGTGCAAGTGGCCAGCATCCCCGCGGCCTCAGCGCTCTCAAGTCTTTCGGTCCTCCTTCTGTCAGCTGCACTGCCCCTGATGGCTGATGCCATCTTGTGGGCCGCACACACTTCTACAGCTCCTCCAGAGGTGGCGGCATCCACTAATGCTCCTCCTCAGGGGGCAGTATCCCCTACAGTTCCTCCAAAGTAGGAGGCTGTCTCTGAACCCACTGTCCGTCCTGTCACGTCCAAGGAGGCCGTCTCTGAACCCTCTGCCTGTCCTGTCACGGCCACTGAGGCTCTCTATAAACCCTTGTCTGTACTGTCACGGCAACAGAGGCAGTCCCTGAACCTTCAGCCTGCTCTGTCATGGCAAAAGAGGCCGTTCCTGAACTCTGCCTCATGTAGTGACCACAGATGTTATTCGTGAATTCTCTGCCTGCGATGTAGCGACCACGGAGATCATCCCTGAACTCTCTGCCTGTCCAGTTATGGCCACAGAGGCTGTTTCTAACATCTCTGTGCTCCGTGTTACAGTTCACCTGCTCCACCGTGGTGGCTCTCAGCTCTGTTTGCTTCACCTTGGTGGTCACCAGCAATTGCTAATATAACAGTAATGCCAAGGTTCCGTACTCTACACATCAACAGGACCCATATGAAAAAACAGCACAACTAAGAAGGGTATTCTGGCTGGTTGATAGCAGGAGTCTGTGATGGTTAAACATACTCTCTGAATTAAACTTGAACAGTCATTCATCCAGATTGTTCAGCATGCAAGCTCCACTCATTTAAGAGGGGTCATGATCACACATTCCATGTATGTACACAGAAATGTTTGCTCAATCATAGGGACTGCAAAGCGGTTTGCTGTGCCTCTGAAGCAAATACAGAAACACTCCTGATATGGACTATCTGAACATAGTAAGCATTAATAGTGCACTTGAAACACTGAGGCATTTTATAGCTTATAACACAGTTGTAACGGGTCAGCCTGTACTTTGTATGTGTAACCCGCCACTTCCTGACTGAGCTTACTAGATCCATAGCTGGCTCAGGCTCAGTGCAAGAGGCTGAGGCTGGGGTAGAAAACAGTCATTGAAAGCACTGGCCATAGAGGAAGAACACTGAAAATAATGGTATAGTCGTTGAGAAAACAGCAAGCGGGCAGAGCATTTTGTACTTATACGAGGCAGGGCTACCTATACTGCATCACAGGGGAAGTGGGATGCCTTTACTATACATGTCAGATCACCACTTTGACATGGGGAGCATGCTATGTGAGTAAGCAAGTGGCCGAGGCACATCACGTCACAGCGAGCGGCCAGGAACGTCTCTGTGCTCTTTATTCGACTGACCGCTGCACTGAGACAGGGCCTGCTTATGCCGCATGAGTGAGCGAGCAGCGGAAAACCTCTCTCAGGGTTTCTGCAGACTTGAACAAGTTAAATTTAAGACTTTTTAAGACCTTTTTAATACCACCTTATATGAAATTTAAGACCTAAACCTGTAATGGAAATACACATTTTATTGCATTCATATGTAATATTTAATGAGTATAAATTAAAAAGAAAACAAAATATCAATGCTGTAATAAATGGTATTTATTACTATGATATACAGTGAACTTTTCATGTCAGCAGACAATATTCCATACAAAATATCTCTGCAAAATAACTGCATCACTTAGATTTTTGGTGGAGTAAACAATTTATTCTGAAGCAATATTTGTTCTATCAGCTTTTACATACTTAAATCTTAGTCAGTGACAGTGACAGTTTGAATAACTGTGGAAATTACAGTGTTCTAATTAACTTAAAATAGTTTTAATACGACTGAAGTTGTATTTAACATTCAACAAAATTTAATAAAAACATTCTATGACATGACACCCACATATAGCATTTGCCTTAAAAGATGGGTTTGTGATGTGTGCAGTTATTAGGCTGCATTTAACATTACTCTGGACTTAACCCTGTGCCTATGCACTTCTGCAATAAACTGAGATAGATGGAGAGAACGGCAGAAAGGTGTGGTGCTACTTTTCACCTGTAGAAAAATATACAAGATGCAATGATGAATTTTATTTTATTTATATTTATATTATAATAAATTATTATTACTTAATCACAACATTTCTGTAAAATACAATATTATTTTTACATTATTGGTAGAAAGAGTATTAATTCTGCTCATATATGCTTTTGTGATAAATTTGTTATTAATGTCCAGTATGTTATGTAGATGTGATTTGGATTTAAATGGAAGGATTTTTATTATTTTTTAAATAGAATATTATTTTGAAAAATAACATACCCATTTAAGAAATGATCAGTATAGTTAAAATTGTAACAAAAAGTATCAGTATCATATTGAATTAAAAGTATTTGGAATAACTACTGCATGCTGCTCAGAGAAACACAATGGTAGTGCTGTGGCTTTGCTTGAAACCATTTTTGTTAATGAAATAGGGAAAACTACAGTGGCCGAGAGAGCTCAACGCACTGCAAATGAAAAAAACACCTGCAAATTAAGAAAACATCTTCATCAATTTTACAGCATACGTGCTACAAATTCTCACAACCAAATATAGAAACACGCTTCAAATTCTCACAACACAACCAAATACAGAAACGCGTTGCAAATTCTCACAACACAAATAAAAACAGAAACGCGCTGCAAATATGAACAGACCACAACGGAAATCTGGTAAGTGACGAACATGGCTGGGCCATCCTTATTAATGTATGCTCTGAAAGGTGAGATTTTTGTTTATTTTAACATCCTGATAATACGATTCCTTAGCTTTTTTATGTTATTTAAGCCGACGAAATACA